AATATCATTGTCACATGTAGTGCCTCATCTCTTATCACTAACTTCATCGAGGCAATCAACAAGAATTCCAAATGAAAGATTTTGGTCCTCTACACTTCTTTTTGGGGCTTGAGGTCAAATGTACAAAAGACCGTTTGATTATATCTCGGGAAATATATGCTCGTGAATTGCCACACAAGGTCGGTTTAGAGGACTCTAAACCGTCCCCAACTCCCATACCTGTTCGGCCGAACGAGGAAGGGGCAGACAAACCATTTGCCAACCCTAGTTTTTTCCGTAGTCTAGTTGGGTCTCTTCAAGTATTTGACCAACAATAGACTTGATATCTAGTTTGCTTTGAATCACGTATGTCAGCACATGAATGCTCCCACTGAACAGTACTGTCAATCCTTGAAGAGGATTATGTGCAATGTTAAAGGCACCATTGATAGAGGTTTGGTGTTTCAACGTGGGCCACTTACTTTACAGGCATACTCTGATTCTGATTGGATGAATGACATTATAGATGGTCACTCTATTACTAGTTACCTGATTTATTTAAGCCCTAACCATATATCCTGGAGCATAGTGAAGCAAAGCAGAGTCTCCCAGGTCGTCCACTGAGACTGAATATCGAGCCCTCTCGTCTGGTGCGGCCAAAGTCATGTGGCTCTCCTGTCTGTTTGAGATTTTGAAGATTAAACTTCGTCCTCCACATCTTTCCCGTGATAATTAGTCAGTCATCTGCCTGACTAGGAATCTTGTTTTCCACAAATGCACGGTTTATGTTAGCACTGACTATCATTACCTTCTCCTCGCTATACAACTCCGATTTCTAAGCTTTCTCTTGTTTCACGTCGTTCACCTTGAGGGAGGATGTAAGACAATAATAGTAATTGTATAATTTATGGTAGCATTAGTTATATAATCTTCATTTAATAGTCAAGTTCTATAATATGATGAGTCCTATCAAATAACTAACGAAAATATGTAAAAAAAAGTGATTAAAGTTTGACCATGTGAATAATGTTTGGGAAGATCATTTTAGGACGAAGGGAGTGTATTTTTTATTCTTCTGAGTAAAATCCATAATTCAATATTAAAAAAAAAGCATTCAAATTTATTTCCAAGGTTGTTCAAGTATTAAACTCGTAATTTTTAAAATGATTTTATTCATAAATTCATATTATTTTAAAAAATAAAATTTACATATTAAAAAACTAATTAAAATACCGAATAGTTTTCAATCAAATAATTACCAAGAAATGGAACCCAAAAGTGTAAGACTCAAAAAAGTGTGGCTGCTTAAATTCATATTGTTTTTAAAAAATAAAATTTACATATTAAAAAACTAATTAAAATGCCGAATAGTTTTCAATCAAATAATTACCAAGCATTAGTTATATAATCTTCATTTAATAGTAAGCTTCTATAATAGGATGAGTCCTAATTATGTCAAGATCCTATATATACTGTTAAGAAATGTAGGAGAGTTTGTCGTTAATGGGCTCATTCTTGTTGGGCTCGTAATTAGGTCATAGTCTTGCAGCTATTATAAATAGCAGATCTATGTGTAATCAAATCATTCAAGTTTTGTTCTAATAATATTTCTACATGGTATCGGAGCCAACCTGGGAAGCTAAAAGTCCAAAACCCTAGTTTGCTCTACTTTGTTGCTTCCGCTGTCGCCGTCGCCGGTGGTTTGTGTGGCGACGACGGCGTCAACATCTTTTCCCTTCACCTTGTTTTCCCGTCCTTTTTTTTGTCTAGATCTTGCGGTGCCGCACGTTGCTGACAATTAAATCTGTCAATCAGCTTCCGTCGTTTGTTGCCAATCGCCTCTGTTATAGTCTCGCAGGAATTGCTTCATTCATTTGGCCACCTCAAAGTTTCATTCAACTAGCCGCCATCAAACTACTCATTCACTGCGAGTCATTTATAATCAATTGGCTAGTGTTTGGCTATTTGTGTTTCTTTGGTTCTGTTCGTTGTGCATGGAAGAAGGTTTTTATGTTCACTCTACCGGTCATCGGAATTTGATGATGTTTTTGGCGACATTGTTTTTGGTTGCTATTTCGTATGTTCAAGTGCAACCAGCTGTATGTTCGACATGTTTGTTTGTGAGGTTGGTCGCATAGTCGCGTCTCAGTTCGACATATCAGTTTGTGAGGTTGGTCGCATAGTCGCGCCTTAGTCCGGCAACACGGCCTCCAAGTTTGGGATGCTTGTTAGTCGTCCCCGTGTCACCGCGTGGGAGTCATTCATCATCAAAATTTATTGTTCGTTTGCAGGGCCGGTGACCTTCGTTCGTTGTTGTCACAGTAGATCAAGTTCAAGTTGTTTATCAATTTTTTTAGTCTTAGTTTTGTTTTAATTGTCCAAGTTGTGCATTCCTTCATCTCATGCTCAACTTGAGGGGGAGTGTTAAGAAATGTAGGAGAGTTTGTCGTTAATGGGCTCATTCTTGTTGGGCTCGTACTTAGGTCATAGTCTTGCAGCTATTATAAATAGCAGATCTATGTGTAATGAAATCATTCAAGTTTTGTTCTAATAATATTTCAACATATACACCCATGTAAAATTATATTTTTTTATTCTTTTGAGTAAAATCTATAATTCAATATTGAACAAAAAGAACTCAAATTTATTTCCACGGTTGTTCAAGTATTAAACTCTTAATTTTTAAAATGATTCTATTTCTAAATTCATATTATTTTAAAAAATAAAATTTACATATTAAAAAATTAATTAAAATACCGAATTGTTTTCAATCAAATAATTACCAAGAAATGGCACTCAAAAGTGTAGAAAGTGTGGCTGCTTAAATTCATATTATTTCGAAAAATAAAATTTACATATTAAAAAACTAATTAAAATACCGAATAGTTTTCAATCAAATAATTACCAAGAATGTTTCAAAAAAAAAATAATTACCAAAAAATGGCACCCAAAAGTGTAGGCTTCGAAAACGTGTGGCTGCGGGGATTCGAGCCCAGGTATCCATGGCCACAACGTGGAATTCTGGCCACTAAACTACAGCCACAAGCGTGTTAGTTCATAAAATCAAAGAATTAATTCCATAACTGGTCCCCAATTATATGTGATTTTACATATTTAATCCCTAATTATAAGATATTCCATAAAGAGTCTTCAATTTTTTAAAATTATTCCACAAATAGTTGTTTTCACTAAATAAGACAAAATATTTTGAGTAAATTTTCAAAATGATTCTTTCTAATAAGGTTTTTTCCCAAAGTAATCCTCAATAACCAAAAATTACTAATGTGGTCCTTTATAATTGGGATATGTTCCCTAAATATTTTTATATAAACATTCCTATTAAATGATAATTAAATATAAGATATTTTTATGCTCTTTATTATATAAACTATGAATATGTTCCAAAATGATTTTTTTAAATTATGTGGAGGCTTCTGATAAATAATAATTACCAACGTCGTCCTTTATAGAATAGACCATTTTGAAAATTTATTCAAAATATTTTGTCATATTTGGTGAAAAGGACTATTTGTGAAACAACTTTCGAAAATTGAGGATTCTTTGCGGAATATCTTGTAATTGGGGACTAAGGGCCTGTTCTTTAGGACTGTAAAAAAGAGCTGGATGTTGGAAGAAACTGGAAAAAACTGGAAGGAACTGGAAGAAACTGGAAAAAATTGGAAGGAACTGGAAGAATTTGGAGGAACTAGAAGAAACGTGAAAAAACTGGAAAAAACTGGAAAAAACTGGAAGAAACTGGAAAAAACTGGAAAAAACTGGAAGAAACTGGAAAAAACTGGAAGGAATTGAAAAAACTGGAAAAAACTGGAAAACCTAAAAAAACTTTAAGAATATTTATTTTAAATTCTTGTTGTTATAAATTATTATTATTATTTTATTATTATCATCATCATCATCATCATCATCATCATCCTTGGCATCATAATCATCATCATCAACATAATCATCATCACGTTATTTTAGTAAATGTCTTTAAGATATAAAAAAAGTATTGTTGTTTTTTAAATACAAAAAACTACTTTTACAAAAAATAATTATAATATAAAGTTAGCATAAATATAAAAATATTAAATTTTAAAAAGGCTGTGTAGTTATATTGCACCTCAATTTATTTATGCAGTATTTATTATAAATAATCTATTTGTAATTATAATTTATATATTAAAACATTTTATTTTAAATATCATACATGTCACATAATCAAACCTATTGTTTCTTTTATGATTGATATTTTATTTTCATTGAATTCATATTTTTTGAATTAAGACATAGAACTTTTTTGTTTACATTTTTTATGTTTTACTCATATTTTAGTCTTTTTTCTCTAAGCTCTTTTGACTTACAAATTTTTTAAAAAAAATAAAGAAAAATGAGCAATTTTTAAGTAATAAAGGGAAAACTGAGATGTCTTATAAAAAGTTATATTAATAAAACATTCAATGTAACTATTTTATCCATAATTTTTTAGCATAATTTAACATATTGATGTTATCCTGTTTTATCATGTAGACTAATATACAAAAAAATGTCTTATTCATATTAAAAAGTTGATGAAAAAAATAATAAGTGTGAATCGTAAAAATAGTGAGATGAAAAAAATAATTTATAAACTACAGTTATGAATATAAAAATTGTAATAATAATAATAATAATAGTAGTAGTAATAATAATAATAATAATAATAATAATAATAATCACATTGAAATACATTATTTTTAGAGTAAACGGTTGAGGAGTAGAAAGAATTTGTAGAAAATGAAAAAAGTTGGAAGAAACTGGAAGAAACGGGAAGGAACTGGAAGAAACTAGAAGAAACTGGAAGGAACTGGAAAAAACTGGAAGAAACTAGAAGGAATTTGAAGAAATTCGAAGTTAAGAGTTCAAGCTCTAAAGAACATGCCCTAAATATAGAAAACTACATATAATTGGGGAGCATTTATGGAAATTACTCAAAAATAAGTATATAATCTTTAAAATCAAATGTTTACTTAAACCAGTACCGTCCTTGATTTACACTTTAGGGGCTGTTTGTTTCAGCCTCTTAATGGTTCAGATGTCTGAATGGTTCAGCACTTAATGGTTTAGACTGTTTGTTTCAGCCTCTTAATGGTTCAGATGTCTGAATTGTTAAGAGATTTGCCTCTGAATGGTTAAGTATTATACGGAGTCTGAATGGTTAAGACCTCTTATCTGAATTGATCAGACATTTGCCTCTGAATAGTTAAGCAATATACTAGCTCTTAATGGTTCAGACCTCTTACTGGTTCAGCACTTAATGATTCAGACCTCTTACTGGTTCAGCACTTAATGATTCAGACCTCTTACTCGTTCAACACTTACCTATTCAGAAGTTGCCAAACAGCCCCTTAGCCTTGTTCTCTTCCGTTATACTCTCTCCCTCCTTAAGTGAATTACATTTTATGTATAATAAAATAAGATTTTAAGATTTTTCAAATTATTTTATTTAAAGATTGATATACAAATAAAAACTGGAACTTGCATATTTAAAAACTAAATCAAATATTCTACAAAACAAGAGGTTAATATGTTTTATTTCAACAAATAGTCAATAAAAACATACAAATAAAAAAAAATTCCTGTAATACTTGAATTGTAAATAGTGTACATCATTGTGGACGGAAGGAGTATAATTGTTTCCAATCTAATTAGAGTGATCTTATATGATAATCTGGTTTTATTTGATTTCAGTAAAAATAAATAAATATATAATAAATAAATTGAAGAAAAACAAATCCTACAACTGACTTATTTTAAAATATACCCTAAATGTTAAGATGGTTACACTCCAAAATACAAAATATTTTAAATTTAAATATTGCCGGAGAATGTAACACAATACCTCAATTCAAAAAAATATTATATTATACATATATCATGATGTATATATGTACATCTATGATATATCTATAATTTTTAGATAACATGATGATTAGATTTGTGTATAATGGTTAATCTACTTAAGTAGTATTCCGTTCAACTTATTTTTTCTGCTTATTACTTATTCTTATTAAAATCAGATCAGATCCAATCAAATCAGACCAGGCCAGATCTAAACAAAATTAATATTATTTTTTTATAATTATTATTCTTATTATTAACATTATTATTATTACCATTATTATTCATATTATGATTATGATTATTATTACTGTTGGACATGAGTTCAAACCCCTTTAAATATTTTTGAAATTATATTTTAAGGTTTTCATAAATGACAAATGCAACGCAGAATGAAATTTTATTTTCGGTTCAAGAAAGCAAAAGAGACACATCAAGAAATTTACAACGTCAATATTTCGGTATTCAAATCCCTAAACAAAGATTTCGAAGTGAAGAGAAGTTTTCCGAAGACTTTTATTTTATTTTGTGTCTAGGAAATTTTGTAAGGATGACAAAATATCTTTTTACTTAAAATCATTCTTGAGGGATATACATTAAAAAGTATATTTATTTTTGGAGTCAGTTGAAAAATCTTTTAACGGTTCAAAAATAAATTCATTGAGTCAGTTACAAAAAAATGTGTCAAACATTTTTAAGATGATTATTTTGATATTAGAAAATATTTTTTGGAAGCAAAAATATTTTTATTCAAATATTTTTTGACATCGTTTGACACACAAAATATATTTTTTGGGACTCAATTTCTACCCCCAACACACAAATCATTCCAATTATTCAAAATTAATTTTTTGAATAAATGGAGATGTGATTGGGAGCCTATTTGTGCAGAAATCATGTTGGGAACAACAAGATACGGACAAATGTCCTTCATCATCTCGCCACTGATTGATTCTTGCTGTCACTTCATTATTCGCGCCATTAATCGATTATTTCACTTATAAAATCGATTTTCTCTTCTTGCTCAGATCTGGATTTACGACCAGAATTTTAATCAACTTTCTCACTCACTGAAAAATCGATTTCCCTGTTTAGAAGGTCTTGATAATCGATTAACTTTTGTTAATCGACTATCAAGACATGCAGAAGTTTGAATAATCGATTATCATAAAATTGATAATCGACTATCACCCGGTGCAGTTTCTTTCAGTTTTTGGGGAAGAAAAATAATCAATTTTTTTCCTCCCAATTAATTGATTTTTTGTCAATTGCTTCTCATCCTTAGCCTTATCTTTTGCCCCAATGGACATATTCTTTTTTCACCTATATAATCCCTCTTCAACCTTCATTTTAAATACAATACAAGCACTCCAATCTCCTCATTCATTGCTTTTGATTCTTGCTCCATTCTTGATAATCAAAATACTATTTTAAGAGCTAGAAATATATTTTCTTGAGTGCAAAGATATTGTCATCCATATAGTTTACGCTTTAAACACTACTTACTCATTTGTGAGCTTCATTTCTTGTGTTGTAAAACTCATCTTGTTTGAGTTGTTGTTCTTAAGACTTGTGTGACTAAGTCTTGTTGTTGTAAGAAGTTGAGGCTTAAGTGATTCAAGTTTTTGAGTTGTACCGGTTTTTCAAGCACTCATTGAAGCTTGAAGATTAGTAGGAGTGTAGGATCTTTGAGAGAATCTCTCGGAGGATTGGACTAGCCACGAGGTGGTGAACCAGTATATATCTCGGTGTTCTTCTTTCCCTTACTCTTTAAATTTATTCTTGCGATTTTTATTTCACACTCGCGAAAAACGCACATTGTTGAAAACAACTCTATTCATCCCCCCTCTGGAGTTGCACGTTTGTCTAACAACTACTATTGCTGTTATTATTATTATTGTTATTATTATTATTGCTATTGATATTAATAATATTATTACTGTTACTATGGGTAAAGACTGGTTTTTTTTAAATAGTACACCAACATGTGAGAGAGATTGTCCCTGACTTTTGTTAATAGTCATTGCATATGAAGTCATGCCTCCGTACATGAGTATTTCTTTAATATTGATTTTTTTGGTCAAAATTGTTAAATTTTGATATCAAATTGAAAAAAAATGATATTAAATATTGATACGAAAATAGTTTTTTGATTTATTATATCCCAAATTTTCAAAATATTATAGTATCTAAATGATATACTATATATATGTTATTTAATTATAGATCAAAAAATTGAATGAAAAAAAGTTAAAAATGAACAAAGACTAAAACACAGCTGTAGTATTAATTTCTACCCATCTTGAAATAATATTAATTTCTCCGTCATATTTTTAGTTACATATAAATATTTACACTACCAAATTTTAATATATTTATTTACTAATTTTGAATTATTTTACAACTCTTATTTTTTTAATCTAATATAAAAAATAAATAAATCTAAAATTTAATATTAATTTCTACCCACTTCAAAAATAAAATATAAAAAAACTAACAGGCCTGGTCGAAATGGAAGAAAGCCCACAAAGAATCAGCCCGGCCCAACGATTCAGCCCACCCCCTCTCTCTCTCTCCCTATTACAACAAAACTTCAATTAATAATTTTGTTTCGTTTTTTTCCATTACAATGTCATTCAGCTCCTTTGATTTTCGTTTTTCCTATAATTATTTATTGAAATGAATTTTTTGATTGTTTTTTTTTGGATTTTTCCATGTTAATATCTTCTCGGCGTAAACCGATTCTCTCAGAAAATGAAGCCTACTATCCAATCTGAAGATCGAGAATTGTTTATTCATAATTGTGTTCATTGTCGTGTATATATTTATATTTTTTCAGTATTTTTTCCAATACATTTTCCAGTATTTGTATTATTTTTACGTTTCTTTATTTGTCGGTGGATAGATCTTCATTTTATCTATCAGATCTACAAAGACCGATTACATATGAATTTATATTCAATATATACCTCTTTACTAACACTTTTTTGGATTTTTTTATTTTAATATGTTATCGGCGTAGTAGACAGACTCGCTCATAAAATGAAGTCTGCTATCTAATCTGGAGAGCCACAATTGTTTATGGGCAGTTCATGCATGCATTAATTTTTCAGTATTTATAAGTATTTATTTTATTTTTTCCCCTTTTGTGTCGGTGGATCGAACTTCATAGATCTGTATGTTCAAGTCATAGATCTTGTTTAAAAGTCCATTTACTAAAAGGTTTAAATTTTACTCCCTCCGTCCAAAATTAAATTTAACATTACGCGTTACGATGTTTGACAGAAGTTATTTTCAAATCATTTTATATAAAAAATGGTGTAGAATTAAAAAATAAAAATTACATATTAAAAAACTATATCAAAAGATCTACAAAACTAGAGGTGACATGACTATATTATTTTATCAAATGGGTGACGAAAATAGGCCAACAAAGTGAATAAAGTTTGACCATGTGCAGCAACTCTAGAAGTCTAAATAAATTAAACCTCTACTAACAAATAGAGGTTTCTACCTAGTACAACACCTAACAAATATGAGATTCTGTTTTGCCAAAATATTAGCCAACACCATGGAACCAACACAAACGAACTGGTGTAAGCAACTGGGGTATAAGTAACTGGTGTCATTTTAGACGCTCTATATACACACACACACACACACACACACACACACACACACACACACACACACACACACATATACACATATGTTCAAATGAGAATGGTACATAGTGAAAGAAATGATTATGCATATGGTCCATTAGATTTAAGATTTAATGGCTATTAAGAATCAGAAATTCTAAAAAATTGAAAATATCACGGTGGCAATTTAGTAAATAAATTAAAATTTCTGAAAAATGCACTGCTAAATGTGCAAAATGCATCACGACAGTCTGATATTTGGTCAAAATTTAAGTATTTATTTTATTTTTTCCCCTTTTGTGTCGGTGGATCGAACTTCATAGATCTGTATGTTCAAATCATCGATCTGTATTTTAAAAGTCCATTTACTAAAAGGTTTAAATTTTATTTTGTTAACACTGATTTTAGTGTCAATGTTTTCTTAACTTTCTGTTTGTACCATCCATCACCAAGTATTTCTCTGTTAATTATACCATGATAGCACTACTTATATTTTTAATTATACCATGCTAACACTTATTATATTTTTTAAATTATACCATGCTTACCTTCAACTTTTCCATGAAGTCGTAGAAAAGAAACGTTTTATATGTAAAACAATTGCATTGATTCAGGTTAGAAACTACAAAAATTTAATGGTAATGGCTTACAAATCTGTCGTGAAAAACAATATCCATTGTCCTTGTTCCACTGTCTCGGGACGGAATGTGATAGCCACGGACAGCCCTGACTCGAATGGTCGAGTCAGACTTGCTATTATCTATGTCTTCGCAGGTGGGAAGTTGTTGTAGGCTATTCCTGGAACGTGCGATACCCTCTACGGAATCCTTGGAACGTGGCTGGTATAGGAATAATAGTATATTATTAATATATTTTTATTATTATAATCTTCATCAATGTTATTGGCAGTGGAGTTTTAATAATATATCAATCTCAGAACATTTATTTTATTTTTGGTATTCTTTTTATGAATTTAATTAACAGGAAATGTAAAATTTGATTTTTTTTCAACTTATTTAGTTATGCCAATTTTTGTGATAAAATATATAATAACTTAAAAAAATTTGTTTTGAAGTGGAATTTTTTTTAAAATTATTTCTGAAATTAAATAAATGAAAAAATTGTTTATCTAAGAATTCAGTATGTTTGGACTATGGGAAAGTAAAATATATTTTTTTGATAGAATTAGGCCCATTTCCGTGAATTAAATTTTGTTTTATTACTTCTGGTCCATATCCGGGAATATGCCCATAAACTTAGGCGGGAAAAAAATCCTGCTACTCTTGTAAAGAGATAGATAGATGTACTGATTTCCAGTGTTAATCTATTACGTATTATGTTTTTAACATTTACCATTTCTATCGCAAACTCATGGGCGGGAAATCCATGCTCCAAAATTCCCCTTGTTTCAAATAAAGAATAGATTACCTTTCTTGCTAATAAGCATAAATATAAATATATATTTAAAGGGTTTTATCGTATTAATTTTTTTTCGAAACTGTGTGTATAATTAATCTTACCATAATTATATTATACTATAATTATACACACAATTTTTATATAGGACCTATTTGGGAATAGCGTTAGAGATTAGCGTTAGCGGTTTGGATAAAATTTTAACGGTGCAGATTACTTTGAAAACGCTAATGTTAAACGTTGTCCATCGATAGCTTTTTCAAAACGCTAACGCTAATCGCTAAAACTATTCCCAAACAGGCTCATAATCTAGTCACACGGTAATTATATAATTATATAATTATGGCAAGAATAATTATAAACACGTTTAATAGCATTGATTGATGTGTATTAAAATTTATAAATATTTTTTATAAATAATTTTTGCCTATTTTATAAATATTTTTATAACTTAGCTTTCTTGCTAGTTAAATTCTGGAGACTTTATAAAACGTAAATTTTATATTACTATAATTTTGGACACTTATAATAATGGATGTAATGACCATACTCTTTGGGTGAGAAAACGTAATATTGACTCCATGTCTTTTTAAATAAAGTATGGATTAGCTGTTCGGTCGGGAAAAACCGATTGGTTTTGCTATATGTATACATTATTATTCATTCCCACACCGCATATTCACAATTACCCTAATTGGAATATTATACTTAACATGAAATTCATAGCCATCGCCTTCTTTCTTTCTAATGGGTACAAATCCATACACGCCACTTTTAACATGAATACAAGACAATTATTTAATAAATAATAATAAGACTTTCTTCATGTTAAGAGTGTCGTTTGTGGATTTACACGTCATCATGTCTTTTTTTGTAAATATACTACTTTATTTGTCTAATTTTTATTTTTTTCTTACAATTAAAATTGATAACTTTTGACCATTAATGAAATAAAGTTTTTATTAATTCTTTAATATAAAATTTGAGAATTGATACTCTAAGAACCTGCCATTTGGCAATGTTTAAAGCCTAATTTTTTGACACCTAATCTTCACACCACTTGTCACTTCTACCATCAAGACTAGGGGCCTCCTCTTCTGAAGGAAACTCAAGTGAAAAGAAGGAAATTGAAATTCCAAAATTTAGTGTCTTTCTCTACCCTTCTTCTTACGGTACTTCTCCATGGCAGGAATCCAAAATTTCTTCATCACAAATTTTCTAGGTCTTCTCTGCTTTGCCGGAAACACGAATACCATAGCTACTCATCCAATCTAATAGCTTATTTGAGATCCAAAATACCAAAATTGAGATTCGAGATTCAGTATGAAAATTTGCACGGGCACTGCAATCAGTGTTACTTGTATGTTTCAATTTTCATATTCAATTGTTATTCTTCCCCAATTAATTTAATTGTGCATATTCAATTCATATTGTTCTACACAATTGTTTTTCCTTTGGTTATGCGGGAGCCGTTTTTGCATCAGTTTCCGGCAACGCCCTACCTCTCGATCTTCTAGCATAAAGTATACCGAATTGGTCTTTCGGAGCTGCAAGGTATGGAATATTACTGGTTGGAATTATGACAGATCTTTTTATGTGGAGACACTCTTGATTTCTTTATTTTCTAAATCAACAGATCTATTTTGGATCTTTGAATATACTCCGTCGGGAAGCAATAAGCTTCAAATCCTTCAATACATGTGTTTTTATTTTTGTCATGCAATTTGAAAGAGAAAAAAGCCAAAAAATATATATAATTGTGCTTGATATCCTTAACACCATCGTTGTAATCATTTGTACTGCATTCCTTTTTATCTCTTTCTTATCTCTATCTGGCTATTTTTCATGTCTTTAATTGTGCTATAAGTAAGAGATTAACTTTTTGGTGAAATTCTGCATTTTGCGGAGACCACTTTGAGCAATGAGTTCCATTTTATCCCCCAGAATCCACTTTTCACCACTGTAATAAAGGTAGTTCAATGCAATGTCAAGTATTTTTGTTCTATTTTTTATGTCTATATGTGTGTTCCTGATGATGTGTAAAAATTATAAATGCAGGGATACTTGCATCTGTAAAGTTCGAGTTTTGTGCTCCATCAAAGAACCATAATACTTCATTTTTCTTCAAAAATAGGTTTATTTCATATTTTTCCTTCCGAAAAAAGGGTTAGACTTAGACATCTATTCTTCCACATTTTATTCTATTGGGTTGTTATTTTTAGCTATTATTTTATTTAATCATTGAGATTGAATGTTGATAAATTAGAATTTTGTCATTAATCATGTTCAAATCAAGCATGGCATGTCATATAATTATATTTTCCCAATCGCACACATATATACGTAGAGGTAATCGATAAAAACCATTCAAGAAGGTAGCAAAGAATGAATGGATTGCAAACCATCCGTATATTACAAATGGGCATGTTGAATGAAGTTAGTTAATATTACTCCTTACTCTCTCTTTTCTTTCATTCTTTTCTTAAATTTTTTGTTAGCTCAGGTCACTTTTGTTAGGTTGAATGCTGGAGGAGTGCAACTATTGTGCTTCAAACTTCAGGTTCACATCCACTTTTGGTAATGGACTTTGCTATGATGCATTTATAGATTTCTATGTACACTACACGTATTGCTATGTTCATTAGAGTCCTCTCATTATATGTCAAAAAATTTGAGCATTATTTTCTATTTTCTAATTCACAATTTTTTTTAACGAAATGCACACTTTATTTAATCACCAAGACGGGGGGAGGGATGTCACGGCTAACTTACTGCTGAAGAATTTTAAGAATTCCAGGTTGGTGTTCTAATTTAATTAGGATGATGACAATGATACGAGCCAGAGATCTCTTGGAAATAGCCTCTCTACTTCTGTACTTCGTAGTAAGGACGAGGTCTACATACACAAATTTGGTGCCAAAATCGAGTATCCAACGGTCCTATTTTTATTTCAATCATTTAACCAAATCCAAGCCATAGATTACAAGCAATGTTAATTTTGTGATATCAAAGGTAATTGATGGGAATTTGTTCTCTCCCTATCCCGCCCCAAGATATTATTACTGTGCTTCTCTCTCCCACCAATCCACGTATCTATCTTTTCCTTTCTCTACACCCAATTCACAATTCCTAAAAAAATGACCTTATTCTCCATTCACTTGCGATAGAATATAACGACCTCAGCCGCCTCATTTTTCTTCCCCATCGCACGCGCACCCTGAGCCCTGGGCTAATCCCTAGCACCGGAAGGGCGAAAATGCAAAGGGCGAAGATGAATGTGATGATCCTTTGTAAGCTGTTTTTTGACTTCCTAATTCTATAGCTTAAATGATTGATTTATATTTTTCTAATACAGTTAAACATGAATTCAAGGTATTTATGCGAAAATTGATGCATTGTTGTCACCGGTGACATTGTTCATGTGATAGGAGAATTTGATGGCCAACACCATTTCTGATATTATTTATCTTCATAAAATAACAATGAGAAAGACAAAGAAATAATTAGAATCTTTTTCCCAAAATTTGTTATGGAGTGAGCTGCACCATGAGGGAACATTGATCTAATGAAGCTTGAGGATAGAAATCCTTTAATATAAAATTTGAGAGTTGATTGCTTAGAATTATGACACGTGTCACTTGGAGAATTTTATTTTAATTACAAATCAGCCTTCCACGCTTCATTTGTTGGAGCCTCTAGCCGTTCAACCTTTTTCAGAAAGAAAAGTTTCCTTTCTTCGTTCCAGGCAAATCGGCGAAGAAGGAACCCCAGGAAAATCGCGATTTCATACATCTATTCAAGGATTAACAGTGAGTAAAATAGAAGCTTCCTTCTTCATCCCAGATCTATCGCATCCAAAATAGGTATTCTTTCTTCTATCTTCACTAAGGAAAGACTCGAAATTAGGTATGTTTCTAATTTTTTATTCTTTTTTTTTGTATTATATAAATTTGATTCAAATTTTCAATATCCTTGCAGATTATTCAATCAATATGAAGAATATGACTTTGGGAGGACTGGGAGTCTTGCAACAGAAAATGTATGCTAAATGCACTTTTTTTTATCTACCAGTATGTGTTTGAACCATCTGCATTCTCTGTGTTGAACCCATCAGTTTATTCTTTTAGGTTGAGCTAAAAGGACCACTGGATCATTCTCATTAGTTGTTTATGTTCTTCTGGATAATTCTAGATATGGGGTTGGACTCTTCCTTGCTCATCTCAAAATGGCAGGTTCCTTGATTAATAGTTGCAAGACAAACTCATCAAGATTCTACATGCATTTTAAATCTCTACCTTATTGTCGTGGAGGACAACTCAAAAGTGTTGGATACATACTCTATTTTCAAAATATTGCTTGCTGTAGTCATAGGCGATGATCATTCTCACTCCTAGTGTGCCTACAAGCCCCTAGGAATAATTTATAGGGATAAAAAACAAGAGTCCCTAAGGGAGGACCAAAAACAATTTAAAAGAGAATTTAAAAGAAGAATGAGAAACTAACTATAGGGACCAAACTCATTTATAGAATGAGCTATAAATTATAGTGCCCAATTTTTTGTTCTTTTTTGTCAAAAAACCGAATGACAATTTTATGTTATCAATGGTGGCCTACGTTTTCATTTGAATATTCTTTTTGACATATTTCTGAACTACATCTACTATATTGTCCTTTGGGAGCTCAATATTTATGTATTCTGTAGCAAAAGGATTTATTACTATTCTGAATTAGTTGTGGAATACCATTTGTGTGTCTTCTTGGAGTCTAGATTTTTTGCTTTACTATGTGTATAGAGGTGCCATAAAAGGAGAGCCATTCTGCTAACAAGGTCTAGTTGGAAAAGTTTGATATTGTTTGGTTGTTTGTAACTTCTGCTTGCAGCTTCATTTTGTTTGTCTCTTTGCTTTTAAGAGTTGTATTTTTGTTGTTGGATTGCTGAATTTAGATGCAACAATCTGTCCACAAATCTTGATCTCTATTTTTTGGTTGGTGATGAACTTCGAAGATGTACATGGAGCTACTTTTTGCTGCATCTTCAATCTGTAGGCTACACTCTTAAAGTTGTTTTTGGTTTGTTTGGCTATTGATTGGCATCTTTGACTTTAGTCTAGATTTTGAATTTTAACATTTGGTGTTGTCATCATAGAAAGTTTAGGTTTTCGTTTTAGTTTTAGGTTGTTTCCCCTTCCTTTTTTCAAGGGGCTTAGGGAGGATCTTTCCCTCTTGCTTTTTTCCATTTTGATGACCTTTGGTTGGGTCCTCCCCTTTCTTTTTTAGTAACTTAAAAAGAAAAATTAATTAAATCCGGAAACTAACTGTCTAAATCAATGCTATGAATGTCACACGGTCACACCCCATCCCAAAAAAATTATTATTTCCTTTTTTTAACTCTTATGCATCATAGTGAGTAATTGAGTATGTATTTATCACTAACTTTGGATTTAACACTAGCAGATTATCATTTTTATAGGTTGAATGTAAACAGTACAAGTGTAATGCAAAGTTTTTCCGTTATGCAAACTTTGACCGTTTACACCTTCCTCTTTCGTTTTTAGAGGTTCGATCCAAAGTTATTTGATCTATTATTTATTCTACTTTGATGTTAATTACTCTATTACGTATTCTACTTTGATGCCAATGTCCACAATATTGAAAAATTGTGTTAGAAATATATTTTCTTAAATTCAGAAAATATTATATTGAAAAATATTTTTTGAATCGACAAAAATTTCGTTCGAACCCGTGCATAACACGTGTCAAAGTACTAGTATTCTTAAGAAATCACCCAAAGTAGCACCTTTAAGCAACCAAAATTACCTTTATAGCAATGTCATGCCGTTTTTGACTTCTATGGCAGTACCCAGCGAAGCACTCGTTCTAAATATTCCAGATATACCCTTTTTTTCTTAATTGAAATTTAATAATGATTTTAGTTACGATGTCTATTCAGGTCCTTGATTTTAGGATTTAAGTTATTTGGTTTCCATATATGCCGCTACATCCTTGTTCCACCTCATCGTTTGTGTGTTGCTCAATTTTTCATTTTTTTTCTAGAGAATCCTCTGCAAACCTGTGTGTTGGTCTGATCAATTTGACATTAGGTTTTTGCCAATTGTTTTTCCTAATTCTGTATTTCGATTTTTGCCATTCTCTTGCCACTCAATTTGACATTAGGTTTTGTAAATAATTCCATCCACTCATTCGTAATTCATTTCTTTATATGCCTTTGTAGTTTGCAACTAGTAACATTAATGTGTATTCCATGTTTCTTTGGGTTTACAGCTGTAGCGATGTATTTTTCATGCATTAGAGATGAAAAAATTCAAAGTAGAGTGTATTAATCTGCCACCAGCCTTTTTAATCTACAACTAGCAATATTAATCTGCAACTAGCACTTCCATTTTGATGCATTTTTTTTAGTAAATTTACACTGGAAAATTGGATCTACTTATTCAAAATACATTTGGAATTGTAATAATAAAAACATTTTGATTCGTTTGTTTATTTTTTCAAAATCTGGCAGTGTGATGTGTGTTTTTAATGGAATTATGAATTACTGTGTAGCATAATATGACATTTTTGAAGTGATATATTAACCATTTGTTCGGAAGTGTGAAACATGAGCTTTTTTAGTGAATTTAGACTTGAAGATGGGATATACTTGTTCAAAATATATTTGGAAGTGTAACAATGAAAGCAATTTGTTTCTTATGGTTTGATTTTTGGACTGTGGCAAGTGTGATGTGATTTCTTTGAATGGAATTGTGAACTATCGAGTAGAGCATATTAGGGCAAAGACTTGAGATAATCTATTATTGGGTTATATGTCTATGCTCTGAAATATGCTATGTGTTTGTTTTTTATTCACCACCATTCGCATTTACAGGTAAGTGGTTAATTTCTTATTACACTATATGTCTGTGCTATATAATAGTCTGTGCTATATAATATGCTCTGTGTTTCTTTCTAATTCACCAAGATTCAAATTTACATGTTAGTTTTTACTTTCTTATTGGGTTATAGATTTATGATATGGATTCTGTTGTATTTATAATAATTCAATGTTGGTTCTACATGCATGGGTTTACAAGTGTTGGTGTTATTACGTGTTGATGGAACATGGGACACTCATGGCATTTTCACTACAAAGTATAACATTGTGATCGAGGTCCCTAATGATACTATGCTTTCATCTCTACTAGACATTCTTAAATGTGCAATATGCATCGATTGGTCTCAGAATGGTGTTCGTCTGTCTTGCATTGTTGAGTCCTACCCCCACTTATTGTCTTTACCGATAATGCGGAAGTACATCACTATTTGAGTCCTTACCGATCGTTGATGTGCACACAAATCTATAGTACGTGCACACAAAGTGCCTACTTTATATACATGACTGTTATGTCATTTTATGGAAAAACAAATTCAAAAACACCTACTATGTCAATTTATCGGAAACAAAACACTGCATAAACTGGAAGTGTGATGTCTGGCATTATGATGTGATCTTTTAATTGAGTTTTGAAATATGAGTAGCATAATAGTGCACTTTTTGAAGTGTTGTAATAATTATTTGTTTGTAGTATTTTTTGTTTTATTGTTACAATTCCAAACACACCTTGTATGTCATTTTATCGGGAAAAAATGTCGCCTAAACTGGAAGTTTGCAACAATCAAAATGCATATGATGTCTACACTGATATGCAATGGCAATGAGTTAAAAAACATTTCCTAAATTCACATTGTGTAAGAAACAAACCTTATATAATTTGGAAGTGTGAACATAATTTCATTCGTTATGTTATCGCAACGGCCACATTATAGCAGCATATCTTCCTCTAGCAATATACCCTTCCTCGTTTATCAAATAGTACATATATAACTCAAACACTACCTAACTTGGCAGTCTACAACAATCCAATCATTGTTACAAACACTAATTCAAAAACAATATGGAACACCAGAAAAATGGTTGTTTTACTTCACAGACATGTACTAAAGAAGAATACATGCAGTATTAAAACTATATAACAACGTATGTTACAACAGTGTATAGACTAAAACAAATTTCTAAAGAAATGCCACTCCAACATAAAAGTTAAGACAATGTGACATCATTTCCAAGTATTAAGGCAGTTTATCCTTTTTGCTTCCCTCTTCAGCAGGCCTTACACAACTTCTGACCAAAAAAATGAGTAGCTAACCGCTTATCCACCGAAACTCTGGGACATCCAATAGATCACTAAATGCAGATTTCCTAAGAGTCTTTAGTTCTCCTAGAGTCAAGACGTTTTTAATTTGTCTTGCAACTTCATTGACGTTGCAATATGTACTAACCCTCCCATCCTGCAAGCCGTCTGTCGCAGCCACTGGAGCATCCTACAAGAATCATAAAGCATACAAATTAAAGAGACATCACCCCTCCATATATTCCAATACACGTTCAAATAATATGTAATCTGTAATAAAAACAAGTGCACACACTGCACGGGACAATGAGTGTAAAGTTTTTGAGCTATGACAAACAATGACAATGAAAAAATGCATTCACACTGCACAAAACAATGACAAACAAAATGCATACACATTACCTTGAAAAATGACCTATTATGTTTCTAAGTAATACACAATAACATTAAAAAAAATCTATACCACACTGCTACAACTTGTAAAAAACTATACAAATAATAATGTTTTTATTGTTAAAATTCATAATGTATTATGAATAAGTAGATTCAATCTTCCATTTTAAATTTACTAAAAACTAGTCCTTTCTACTTCCAATCTGTCATAACAATATATGAAGAAGACACACTGCCTTTATAATACGCACATGCACTTTGCCCAACCCACAATGCCATAAAACTATATGGACAAAAAACCGATGCCATTAAAATACTCACAAACAAAATGCCAAATACTATAATAACATGAAAATAACAACGTGTTTGTTATTTGTTTTGCAACATCATTCACGTTGCAATATGTATTAATCCTCCCATCTTGCAAACCACCTTTCTAGGCCACCTCAGCATCCTACATGTGTCATAACGCAGACATATAAAGATCACATATCCACAAATTAAACTACGCATTCACATAACATTTAAGCCGTAGTTAGACGTAAATTGAAACAGGAGAATAAATCATGTATAACATTATCATTGCCAAAAATATGTATATTATTACACAATTTCATCCGGTCAATAAATCTTAACAAATTATTACACTGCTAGAAACACCCTTTTACAACAAATTCACTGCCATAGTATGGAAGTCAATCAAGTACACACCACTAACATGATAGAATGTTAAAAAGACTATTTGTGGAAAACTCTATTCATATGGAAACGGAGTAATCCAAGAGGAGGGATTATCTCCTTTTTATTGGTGAGATAATACTCCCATCCGCCTGTCATAAAATGATTTTTTCATTTAATATCTTATGGTCTTCAATGCATCACTTTGACTATCAATGTCTCTATATATATAATATAAATTAATATATTTTTAAACTATGTTTTAAAATAAATCTATTGATAAAAAATTTATATGAAAATTTAATGTAATATTTTTGTAATATGCAGTCAAAGTTTAGAAAGTTTGACTGCAAAAGCCAAACTCAAAGGTTAATTTTAAGATGGAGGAGAGTAATTAGCTTCTCTGATCTCATTAGTGAACTTATTATAAAGATAGATATAGAATCCTTATATTATGTGTGTGTGTGTGTGTGTGTGTGTGTGTGTGTGTGTGTATGGGAGCGTCTAAAATGACACCAGTTACTTATACACCAGTTGCTTACACCAGTTCATTTGGTTACCTACAGTGCTCCGTTTGTAAAAACGACGGTTCCTAACCCCCCTAACCCTCTCCCTAAACCCCCAACCCCAGCCCCACCCTTGCCCCCCCTCCCGCCCCCTCCCTACCCTGGCAGTATACTGCCTGGCAGTGTACTGCCAGGGTAGGGAGGGGGGGCAAGGGTGGGGCTGGGGTTGGGGGTTTAGGGGGAGGGTTAGGGGGGTTAGGAACCGTCGTTTTTACAAACGGAGCACCGTAGGTAACCAAACGAATTGGTGTAAGCAAATGACACCAGTAACACTGGTGTCATTTTAGACTTACCGTGTATGTGTGTGTATATATATATATATATGTATGTATGTATGTATGTATGTATGTATGTATGTATGTATGTAAGTATGTATGTATGTATATATGTATGTGTATGTGTAGGTGTCTACGTTCAACGAATATGAGTTGATATGAATATATATATATATATATATATATATATATATATATATATATATATATATATATATATATATATATATATAAACAACAATAACCCAGTTGAATCCCACAACAGTAGGGTCTGGGGAGGGTGTGTGTACGCAGACCTTGCCCCTACTCGGAAGTAGGGAGGCTGTTTCCAAGAGACCCCCGGCTCCACCTGCACAAAAATATGGAAGAGAACACAGTATAGCACAGATAAGGCACCAAGTACAAGCAACAAGTACAAACAATAGCAAAAGATTCCCAACAAATACAACACACTACAAAACAACCTCTACAACACCAAGCTTCTATCCAGCGACTCTAATCCTAGTTCTCCAAAGGTTCCTATCTAGGGCCATATCCTCAGTCAGGTCGAGAAGTCCTAAATCCTGTCTTATCACCTCCTCCCAATTCTTCTTAGGTCTACCCCTTCCCCTACTTCCCCCAATAACTGTAATCCTTTCGCATCTCCGTACAGGGGCGTCAGCATCCCGCCGTCTCACATGGCCAAGCCACCTCAACCTCGCTTCCCGCAACTTGTCTTCCACCGGTGCCATACCTACTTGACGTCGGATAACCTCATTCGAAATCCTATCCAACCTTGTCTTCCCGCACATCCATCGTAACATCCGCATCTCCGCCGCATGCAGACGACGCACATGAGTCTTCTTAACCGCCCAACACTCTGCCCCATATAACATAGCAGGTCTGACTAC